AGTGCAGGACCCGGCCCTGAGCCTTGCTGACCCTCACCCAGTGCCTGGGCCCATCGCCCCAGCCTGGCCAGGGCCCTCTGCAGAGCCTCCCTGCCCCCCAGCAGATCAACGCTCCCACCCAGCTTGGTGTCGCCTGCAAACTGACTGAGGGTGCCCTCCATCCCCTCGCCCAGATCATCGATAAAGATGTTAAACAGGACTGGCCCCAGTACGGAGCCCAATACTTATTTTGTGGTGTGACCAAGACCCAGCAGCTTTACGCTCAATCCACAGCCCGCAGGCAGAAGAGATTACCCTCTTGCTTACCTGTTCTGCCAGCAGTAGCAGGGATTGCCCTTCCTCTGAACTCTCCTGCCACGCGAAGGGTTCAAAGGAGAGGGGAGTTGGGCAGGGGGTTTCTGATAGGAGAGGCCCTGGGCTCGGTCACCCGCGGCTCTCCTACCAGTCAGGCTTGGTTACTTCCCGTCCCACTGCTTCCCAGCCTTGGCTTCAGTCCTTGGCCACTATCAGTTGTCCCTCATCTCTGTTTCTATATTTGGCATGTATTTGTTTCTCAGATGTGTTTGTGCTGAGTGCCCATGCTTCCAGGAGCTTGGTTACAGACGGGCGGTGCGAGGGGTGCTGGGAATACGCGGGGGTGTCCTGCTGGTCCCTGGGTCTTGCCCCTCGGATGCCCGGGCAGGGCTTTCTGTGGCTGCAATGGTGCCCCAGCGCTCCCGCGGAGCCCTGCCCCCGGGACCTCGGTTTGCCAGGAGCCGTGCGGGGCACGGTGCTACCCTCCGCTCTGGCAGATGCATTGCAGAGTTCGTGAGCTCCCAACTGGAACAGGAGAAATGAGGCCAACGTCAACGGGAAAGCGCTGATTTGTCGAGCAGAGACTTTGGCTGTGAACATCCCCAACCCCGCAGGCTCTGGCTGGGGTTTGGGTGCAGCCTTGTCCGGCTCCTGTGATTTTCTGTTATTGCCTTAAGACACACCTTACACTCCGTGGGCAGCACAGGGTCCGTGGAATGAGAGCTGCTGCGGGTTTCGGGTCCCTCTCTTGTAGCGGGCAGCTGGATGGGGCTGTTGGGTCTGTGGTTCTCGGGCACCAGTGCTTTTAGGCTGTCAGCCTTGGAAGTAGCAACCTCAGAGCTGCAGGGATCCCTCTTTTGCAAGGGGAGGGTGGAGCCACGAAGCTGTGGGGAGGCTGAGAGGAGGCTGTGCCCAGCCCCGGGCTGTGCTTCGTACCTTGGAGGAGAACGTGAGTTTTGCTAAGCAGCTGCGAGGTCCCGGAGAGGACACGGTTTGTTCAGGAAGTGCTGTGGCTGTTTGGAAAACAAAGCTTGCTTGGGATTTCTGCCCTGTTGGTTTTGGTCCAACTTGGGCTGAAGCCAGATCTTGAAGGAACAACGTATCCTGCAGCCCAGATGCTCTCCCGTCGCGGGGAGCTGCTAGCACCCTGCGGCGCGGTGTTTGCCAGGGCCGGGCCGGGCTGAGGGACAGCGGTTCCCGTGCTGCGGGTGTCCCGGGCAGGTGCTGTATCGCCCGTGGCAGCGCTGATCCCGCACACCTTGCTGCTCCTGGTGCTGTCGGAGCAGGACGGGACCCGCGGGGAGCCCTGCGGGGCATCAGGCTCGCCGTTTGCACAAACCTGGGTTTCGCCCTGCTAGCAGGTTCTCTAGCTTGCTTTACTTTTCGCAGCATTGCCCTGGCAGTATGTGCCACACAGTGCTCACCACTGCTGCCTGCCCTCATGAAGCCATAAAATGATATAATAACTTAACCATCTTCCAGTAAAAGCCTATTTCCCTGAGGTAACCAGAGACCCATAAATTCATTATCTGTGCTGGGTGGTTGCTGGGAGCTGCTGACTTAGCAGGGAGGGCTGGGCTGCGCGGGGCAGCGGAGCGGAAGGTGCATCGCAGCGCCCGGCGTGGCCCGGCAGCCGCCCCAGGGCCCTTTGTGGTTTAAACCACGATGGGCCCTTTCTCCTGCTGTGGCTGCGGGGTATCGGGGTATCGGGGTACGCCGGCCCTCCCCGGCGGGGGCTGGCAGGAGGGAGCAGCTCACTGCCTTGAGGCTGCTCCATTTCATCCTCGGACCCGGGCAGACCCTGGGGAAGGGAGCAGACTCTTTTAGCAGTTTTGTGCTTTTTCTGTGCGTGTGTCACAGTCCCGTCTTCAGAGGAAGCAAAGTTGGGCTCTGGCCTGGCTTTCTGGGTAGAAGAAACTGGTCCTGGGAAGAAGCGTCCTGCCCGGTGGCTCTGGGAGGCCCTGGGGTCTCTGCTGCCCTGCGGGCTCCTCTCCAGCACGCGTTTAAGCAGGGAGCTGTTCCCGGGTGTGAGCCGGTCCCGGCCCGGGAGGGATCAAACTTCAGAGGAGGTGTCTGAGATGGCAGGGTGTGCCAGCGAGCCGCGTCCGACCTGGCCTCTCTGGGGGCTGCCGGGTGCCCGGTGGTCCGGTGGGCGACGTTTCCTCCGGCCTCAGTGGTAGGAGGCCTCCGGAGCAGAGGTACAAGCATACGTGGGGCTGCTGGGCTCTCTCTGTGCTGCGGACCATGGCTGCTGACCTCTTGCTCTCCGGGCAGCCGGCTGCCGGAGCTGTGCAGGCCGAGGGGAGGACGGGGCTGGATTTGCATCTCTTGGGGAAATGCTAGCCCCTGACGCACTTCCACACCAGCCTGCAGGCACTGTGGTCGCCGCCACTCCCGGCCAGTCCGTAAGCTGGGCTGGGTTCACAGCCTTCCCTTCCCTCGCAGGTTCACCACATCTTGCAGGAGGTGGTGATAGGCGGCATGGTGCTGGAGACCAACATGAACGAGATCGTGGCGCAGGTGGAGGCCCAGAGCAAGCTGGAGAAGGCGGAGGTGAGTGGCGATGCTGCGGCTCTCCCCCGCGGGAGGCTGATGTACTCCAGGGGGTCAGCCTGGGGGGTCCGGAGCTGGTGCCTAGGGGTATCCCCAGTGTCCCCGGTCTCTGCCTGCCTGAGTCCTCGGGGAGAGGGCTGGGGGCATCCCTCCCCAGCCGTGCTCCCTGCTGCTTCAGAGCCTATGTGTGAATCACAGAATGTCCCGAGTTGGAAGGGACCCACAAGGATCATCAAGTCCAACTCCTGTCCCTGCATAGGACAACCCCAAAACTCACGCCGTATGTCTGAGGGCGTTGTCCAAATGCTTCTTGAATATTGTCAGGCTTGGTGCCCTGACCACCTCCCTGGGGAGCCTGTTCCAGTGCTCCGCCACCCTTTCCTGGTGTCCAACCTAAACCTCCCCTGGGCCCTGGGGCTCGGGGGAGGCAGGGCAGCATGGGGCAGGGCTCGGTTCGGGGATGCTCCTGCGGCAACGCACGGGGCTGAGCCGGGAGCAGCCTGGAGCCCCTCGCAGGGGGGCTGCGGGGACAAGAGGCCGGCGGTCACTGGTCCTTCCCGTCGGCAGGGAGGCCTCTCGGCTGCTCCTTCCCGCGCGGTCTCGGCTGTGAAGAACATCAACCTGCCAGAGATCCCTCGCAACATCAACATCGGAGACATCAACATCAAAGTGCCCAACCTGTCGCAGTTCATGTGAGCGTCCCGCGGCGGGGAGGGCTGCCCACGCGTGCGGGCCGTGGTCTGGACTGGCTGGGGAGAGGAGCTGGGCTCCGCTGGGCTCCCCCTGCCCCTTCTGGGTCTCTGCCCGTGCGGCACACGGTGGGCGCGGTGTGCTGCCGGGGTGCCCGGGCTGGCCAGCAGAGCGTAGGGAGCGGTGATGGGGCTCAGTGAGAGTGGGGTGGTGCTGTCCGCCTGTCTGTCACCTCGGGCCTGGGCTCGGTTCTGCTCTCCCAACAAGAAGGGTGGCCTTTCTTCCCCTCCCTCCTCCCTCCCCGTGGGTGCACAGCCTCTTTGCTCCCTGTGGGGGGAAGAGCTGGGTCCTGCCTCTCCCAGCACTTCTTGGAATTCCCTGTTGTAAAAACGCACCTGTAGCTGATGGCTCCCGGAGGAGCCGTAGGTTGTCGTCTCCTCCATCCTCCCTGGGCTGGGCTGTCCCCTGCCTGGCATCCCCATGCCCGCCCTGGTCCTGCTTGCTGGATCTGGCACCCCAGGCTGGGGTTGGTACCAGCCTGGTCGGGGTTGCTCATCAGAGCTGCTGCGAGCTCTGGAGCTGGGGCCAGCGTGGTTGGTACCTGCCGGACCGGGAGACGCCAGCAGCGAGAGGGAAAGGAGCTGCCCACTGCCTCTGCCGGCGCCGTGCCGAAAGCTGCGGGGGAGAAGAGCAGCCAGCTCGCAGGGTCGGGGCCAGGCCAGGCTGGGGCCTCCTGCAGCATGTCCCTGTGTCCTAATAAACCACCCTGTGAACCTGTCTGTGTCTGCCGTGGGTGCTGCTGGCGCGGCCCCGGGGGGAGGCAGTGGGGCCGGGGCCCTCCGGGGGGGGGGTTGGCGTTGCTGCAGCCTGTGCTCCGGGGCGGGGTCCCTGGCTGCACCCTGCCCTGCTCTCCAGAGCAGGCTGGGGAGTGCGATGGCCCTGCGTGGGCTGTGACAGCGGCGTCCCCTGCTCTGGGCCTTTGGAGGCAGGGTCTGCAGCCTGCCAGTGCCCGCTGCCCTCCTGCCAGCTTTCCTGCATTCTCTCTGCCACAGAGCATCCCCGGTCCTCTCTCAGACAGGGCGGCTCGGCGGGCATGTGGAGGCTGCGGGGCTGGGGCCGGTGTCCCCCTGAGGCCTGCGGGGAGCGGGGCTGGTCCTGGGGGTCGGAGTGAGCGTGGCTGCAGGGGACGGGCCCGGCAGCGAGGTCCCAGAGCAGCGGGGCTCCTCAAGCCGGGTGCCCCGTGCCCCTGGCTGCGCCGTGGCTCCATCTGGCCACCAGCCTCCGGGCTGGCTCGGGGGCCCCTTCCTCTGCTTCCCTCCGGCGGCTGGGCCAGCTGCGCTCCCGCGGACTCTGCTTCCACTTCCCCTGGCAGGGAAACCGTGACTCTGCGTGGAAGGAATTTTCCTTCGTCTCCCTTCCCTGCAGCTTAACCCTTCCCCAGCTGGCCATGAGCCACCGCTAGTGGCTCGTGGAGGTCAAGGAGCCGGGCAACCTGCTTCTTCCTCTTCTCTGCTAGCCCTCCTCTTCCTCCTCCTCTGGGCTGGCAGAGCAGCGCGGTGGAGAAAGCAGGTGAGCGGTGCTCCGGGCTGTGTCCTGGGGCTGGGACGCGGGGTCCGGCAGGCACTTGGATGGGCGGAGGGGAAAACTCCGGCTTGACCTGCGGCAAGGAACTCAGTGCAGTGCCTGCGTCCCGCTCTGCTCCGGGCCTGGGACACGGGGGTGCCCGGGGGGTCGGGCTGGGGCGGGCAGCCCCGGCTGCGACGGGCCGTGCCTGCGTCCAGCCCCGCGCCGTGGCGTGGCGCTTCGTGGTGCAGGATGTGTCCAGCCACATGTGCTTCCTCTGCGGCGAGATGTTTGTGCACAGCCACCACCGGTAATGGCTCTGGCCTCGCTGCCCCTTCCCACATCCTGCCGGCGCCTCGGCCCCACGGGTCTGCGGGAGGCCGAGGACGGCGCTGGGGCAGGGTGAGTCCCTCTGCTGCTCCTGGCTGCTCCCCTTCCCCTCACCGGTGCGGAAGAGGGCAGGGAGGGGGGGATAAGCCAGGCCAAACCCCTGGACGCCCATTTCCCCCCAGGAGGGCTGCAGCCGAGGCCCGCGGCCGAGGGCTGGTGCGGGAGCAGCCCCAACCCGGCCGGGGCAGAGGCAGCCCTGCAAGCCCTGGCTCCTGGGGGCTGGCGTGCCAGTTGCCCAGGGACCCCCGGGGTCCTGCCCAGGGACAGGAGCCCCGAGTGACCCGGCAGAGCAGAGGGAGGAGGCCACGCTGAAGATGAGACCTGAAGGCTCCTGCTGCAG